TTCGAATAAACGTTGTTTTAGAGAGTGCTGAGTGCATAAAACGTTGGCATTCACGCCTCCCTCAGGAAGCACCGCCTACAGATGTTAAGACTAAAAGGAAGAAGTGAGTATTCTTTCAGATTGACGAACCTCATCTTGCTGGTCAAGTGTTAAAGCTGGAATCAGCGATCAAATATCGTGAAGAGGATATTGTGAATGCACGGGTACTTGTTGAGCAGTATGCAGCAGACGATTCGGACGGTGAAATCAACCTGGCTTGCCTGGACTATAAAGTTAGTACGAAGCACTTGTCACTGCAAGATGAAAACCTCTGCATTTTATCCACTCGGAATTTCTTATTTTTCCGCGATTAAAATAAAAAATTTCGACGGTGAAATCAACCTGGCTTGCTTGGACTATAAAGTTAGTACGAAGCACTTGTCACTGCAGGATGAAAACCTCTGCATTTTATCCACTCGGAATTTTTTATTTTCCCGCGATCAAGGCGTTTTGCACTGTTGTCGCGCAGATTCCTCCGGTAGTTCAATTAGTCGCCCTACAAATTCATTTCTATGGCAAATTGGTACTGGAACATATCAGGGTGCCAAACCCGACATCGTCTTGCTTGCGAGCAAGCTTTGAAAGAGGGGGCCATCGTCAGCCTTGCTAGCAAATGATTACAGTTGGCCGCGCAACCACTCGGCAATATTTCCCAAGTGCCACTATCTTTCATAGAGAGCTAATACAGTTTTGACTTCTAACCTTATCATGTTATTGAAGGAGGGGAATTACGAGAAGGCTCTACAGCGCTTTACCGTTGCTACGCATATCCATGGTTATCAGGTAACTATTCAACTGTTGGTAATGAATAAATTCTGTCATTTCAGGAGAAAATTTTAAAATTTGTCACAGACAAACATATTGTTCTACTCGGTAGTTTTAAAACGTATACAGACACATAGACAGATACACACACAAACGAATACGTACAGAACACGACAAACGCACACACTTAAAAACACATACGCACAAACACGCATACAAACATACACATAGAAATAATGCTTTTAAAGGCGAACCTTACGAATAAAAAATTTTTATGAGCAACTTTGACACAAAAGCAGATTTTGACGTTAAATCTAATATCATATATTTATATTCTTCAGTATCTGCCAAAATTTCGGGAAATTCTAGGTTTTAACAAATGCTTGGGATAAATGCACACTCTTTTTTATTAGTCTAACGACTGTTTATTCTTATATCAGTATGAAGCTAATACATGTTTCTTTAAATTAGTTTTTTTCTAGTTTATTTCTGTTTTATAAAATATTGCATTCCCAAAAAGTTTGGGATGGTCACTACTTTGCTTCACTGAATTATTTTATAAAAGCAGAGGCTAACTTCTAGAGTTATGTCTCCATTGTAAAAGTTAAAGCATGGATTCTTAGACTTATCACTGGTGGCGCATACTTTTTGTTGCAGCCAAGTTTGGCCTATTCGATAGCCCTCTGCCATTACCAAATGCGTGATTACTCACAGGCTCTAAAATTTATTGCTGATATAATTGACCGTGGTATCAAGGATCATCCTGGTTTGTTTTCCGACTTACTCCCTACGGATTATTGTGCATATTCAGTGACTTTTTATAGAAATTTTCGGGTATTTAAAATTTTTAGACAGGAAATCACTCATCTTATGATTTTTGCAAAAAGTAAAAAAGATGAAACTGTTTAGCGAAAAGTAAGTGTCCTGAAGTTTCTACTAAATCACGATGTATATTAGCCAGCTGTTTATGTTACCAAGCAAAGCATGTCACCACTTCTCAGCCTTCATTTTGCGGAAGGCGGACTTGGAAGTTGATAATAGTTTGCCATTACATACAGCATATTGCAGTAATGCTTGAATTATAGAGCTTTCGATTGGCATGGTAACTGAGGGCATCGAAGTGAGTTCCGTTGGCAATACGCTTCTTCTTCATGAAACAGCACTCGTGGAAGCTTGCAATCTAAAAGCGGCTATCGAATATAATCTTAAAAACCGTAAAACTGTTGCTTTTCTTTAAGAATTTTGTCATCAATTATGGCCAACGCATAGAATACTTAAAGATCAGTGTCTCTGCCGATCAATTATTGATTTCCTTTGTCAACATCCCGAAGGATTCAATGGATTTTTTCTTTCCGAAAGAAGAATAACATGGACTATATTTATACGTGTTTTGAATCTATGTGCACACATTTGACCCGCTAAGTACCATAGCCAAAAATGCACTGTGCTTTATTATACGTCCGATAAATGAAACTTTAACGAGTTTTGCAGTAACCGCTGCATCAGAGGCGTTGACTGACATGCCACCGAGATCGGAGGAAGAACTTGATCCAGTAACATTACACAATCAAGCACTGATAAGCATGGACACTGCACCGTCCGATGGTTCTTTCTTATTTTTCCTAACTTGCCAGCCACCATTATCGACTTAAATTTCATTTAAAAATCTATCTCTATAGAAAAATGCAATTTTTTCGGTTACAGTTATTCTCGGCATGATACTTTCGACTAATTACTGGAAAAAATTCCAGGTTTTGCGAAGCTACAATATTTGCTAAGTCAAAATCCATTTCCACCAGAGACGTTTAGCAATTTGCTTCTTCTCTATTGTAAATATGAGGTACATTTATGCGCTGAAAATATTTACGTAAGGAAAACGCCTATTCCGGGGCGACTTGAGTAATTTATTATTGAGTTAAAAAAAACTTCGAAAAGTTAAAATCAGGCTCTTATTTTAGTTAAAAGCGTTTAGTTTCATTTTCAGTACTACGACTTAGC